ACTCTGTGGTAATAAAAGGTTTTGGAGGAAGAAAAATTCCCAAATTGCAAAACAAAAACCAAATAAAAAAGGGACTGCTGCAACATTTTTAAAGACTTAAACACAAGGCGTAAGTTAATTATAATTTTATTGTAATTGTTGTGGAACTTACAAAGCTGACCGGCAGTGGGAAGACTTTTCAAACCTTAATGTCACCTTTGTGATGTTAACTTGCATTTTTACCTGAACTGCATCAGTGTTCGGGAKTGACACTATGGGACACAACATGAGGGTTTTATTTTTTTTTTTTTGTGAAAACAAGCAGCACCAGTCCAACTGGATATGATTGATAGCCAGATTCCAGGAAAAAGGCCTGCGTGAACATTGGATCCTAATAAAGGATCTCCCAATAATAAAATGTGCATAAAAATGAAACCTAGCATCAATCGCATCCACTTTTTCTTTTCCAGGTCCCTTGCGTTTATCTTCAAGGGTTATTGACCAAGAATGGGGTGGACCCTGGACAGGTCACAAGTCCATCACAAGGACATGAGACAAACCATTCAAATACTCACCTGCACCTTAATTAAGAGTTACCAATGAACTTAACTAGCATGTTTTGGGTCTGTGGGAGGAAACCGGAGTGCCTGGWGAAAACCCTTGTGTGCACAGGGAGAACRTGCAAACTCCACCAAGAAAGGCCAGGAGGCGAACCTGCAACCTTCTTGATGTGAGGTAACTGCTCTAAACMCTACTTCACTGTGAGTAAAGAGGTGAAGGTATCCAGTTAAAAGATCCAGGTGGTAAATAAGGAGCTTTAAAATGCAATAAACCTTAAAGGGATCCACGATTAGTTGTAACTTTAAACTTTATTTGATAAACATTTATTTTAACTGTAAAATAAAGACTGTAAAAATACTGTAGGCTGTTTAGTTTTGTAATTTTTTTAAAATATGTTTTAACATGGACGGAGCCATTTTATTTACACACAAAGCATTCTGGGTAAATGATGACATCAACTAGGTCCTCGGTGCGAGGCTGCTAGCGAGCTATATCCACCCTGAAGRTTAATCTTGGACAATATCTGATGATCGACTCTTTTAAATGAAACCAGAGAGCGTTGACAGAGAGGAGAAGGTAGAAATAACTCAGCCTGTAACTGAAAATATGGATGGAGGACAACAGAGCTGCTTCATGGAAGAAGAACCTCAGCTTAGCCTGTTAGCCTTTGCGCTAGTCCTCACACTATATTGCTTATATGTATTAGCTCGGCGCTAGTGCGACAAACAAGCTAAACTGAGGTCCTCCATCCATATTTTCAGTTMCAGGCTGAGTCATTTCTACCTTCTCCTCTCTGTCAACGCTCTCTGGTTTCATTTAAAAGAGTCGATCATCAGATATTGTCCAAGATTAACCTTCAGGGTGGATATAGCTCGCTAGCAGCCTCATGCCGATGACCTAGTTGATGTCATCAATTTCCCAGAATGCTTTGCGTGTAAATAAAATGGTCCTGTCCATGTAATATATTTTTAAGCTTTTAGTTTAAAAATGATAAAAACTAAACAGCCTACAGTATTTTTACAGTCTTTATTTTACAGTTAAAATAAATGTTTATCATATAAAGTCTTAATGTTACAACTAATCATGGATCCCTTTAAAACTTCATTTTTTTATKGTGTTTTGTCAAGACTTAGTACTGCAAAGACACTGAGGTCTGCAGTGAGAGAAGAGAGCAGGTGGAAGAGAGCCTGGAGAGGTGGAGGTGGATCCACGCATTCTCTTTACCCACTTTTTTCTTTTCCAGGTTGCTGGTGGTTATCACCAACATTGTGCAAGAGGGGTGACCTGTCCAGKGACTTCCCCTCTTGCACGATTCTATCACAGGAACACAAAGATAAGACGAATGGGTCGTTGAAGAGATCCAAATTTTTACAAGCTGTTCGTTTCCTAGAACTGTACAATCACTTTGGGATATACGTCATCACATACACGGTGACGTATATTCCTACGCAACTCTTTCACACTGTGTCTTGTCAAGAGGAACCCTCCTCCCTTTTTTCCCCTGAGCTGCTGTACTCAACCCTGTGCGTCTTTACCTTTGTCTCAGGGATAAAAGTAAAGCAGGTGCAATTGTCTCTTTGGTGGAGGAGGAAAATGTAAAATTATTACGACTCGTAATATCTTCATGTTTTATGAGGTGTAATTTTTTTAAAGCTAGAAAGAGCTTGTTGCTGTCTGCATCTCAGATCTTATTGTTTGTTGTAAAGCGTCATTGAAAAGATTCGTGAACATCCCACCTTTAACAGACCCTCTCACCCACATGGGGACATTTTAGAGCTACCAGTTAAGTGAACATGAATGTTTTTTGATCTGTGGGAGAAAACTGGATTACCAGGAGTTAACCCACAGGTGTACAGTCAGTACATCTTTCATTTTTAGCAACACAAAAGATAACATCTCATCCTGTTTTTTTATTTTTATGAAGTTTCCATGTGTCTGCTTCATGAGTGATGACAGCTTCAACAATACGGACAGCTGATTGACACCGTTTACCAAGAACACCTTGTCTCGACATTCCAGGAATACTTTCCTTTCCTTTCAGTGTTTCTTTTCATCAGCTTTTATTATGAGTGACACTTCCAGTAAAGAAATGGTTCTGTGCCAGAGACTTCAYCGTTTCATAATCACTTCTTCAAAAAACAAAACCAAAGTGTTTGTCAGAAAGGTAACACCTGTTTTCTTATGTGCTCTTCTGTCAACATTTGAACTACGTAAAACACTTGAGTTGCTTTTCATGTCAGTCTCATTTAATGGGGAAGGTTACTTTTGGGCATCTGCTGCTTTAATATTCTGAGAAAAGTGATGAAACTGCTTTATTTTATTTTGCATTTCAACATTAACTCTAGACTCCAAGCTGACCCAAATAGAATGTTTATTTAGTTTTAATTGCCTGCAATTAATTTCTGGCATTCTGTTTGGACTATTGTTACATTATTGCTTTATTAAAAAAGTGACTCACAGCTAAGGTAATAAGAAAGGCAGACTGTAAATTTAAAACATGCAGGGTTCTTGAAGTTTTGTTTTAAATCTTAATGTACTTTACTGTAAGTCCCATATCTATAATTATAATACCTGTATAGTATATGATTTAAAATGTGGCTGATGGTGTGATCAAAGAGTGATGTGGCTTTGGAGTTCAGTTTGAATGGTTTTGACTGGTTTCCTTTTTTATCCACCTGCACTGATCCATCTGATCAAGCAGGGGTAGCATTTTGTTTTGTATCCATGTCGTAGGAAGTTGGCTGCAGTCCCATGAACCCTGTGCTTATTAATATTGGCAGCTGTGATCATAAGAACATAAAGCTGCTTGGAGATGATCTTGTAGCCTTTACCTTTACCAAGAATATCGATATCTTCTTTCTCTACTCTATGTTCAGTGTAGTTCATGTTGATACCAGTGGTTGTTTCCTTTAAATAGTTTGATTAAAAAAAACTTGAAATATGACTAAGAATCGATGTTTTTAAGGGTACGAAATCATCGACTCTCACTAATATCGCATATCTTTGTAAAATAAGCAACAAACTATTTATTTTTACTATTTAGGACTTGCCTTTTCAAATGAATAAGAAAGCAGTTAAATATTTAAATTAAATATTTAACTTAAATATTTAGCTAGCCACCTAAATATTTAACTTAAATATTTAGGTTAAAAAAAACTTGAAATAAGAATCGATGTTTTTAAG